TAGGGTGTTGTCTGTAGGCGAGGATTGGCTTTTCCCCCAAGGCCTGTGAGAGTGAGGGGTCATTTTCCAGGATAGGTTGTAGATTGCTGATAATGCTTCAGAAGGATTTAAGTTGTAGGCTGTAGGTGATGACAAGTGGTATTCTGTTGTTTCCCCTCCTTGGCCTGTCTTGGAATAGTTCATGTCTGGGTACTCTTCTGGCTCTGTTGATCTGTTTTTTCACTTCTCCGGGTGGGTATTTCAATTTTAAGAATGTTCTATATAGATCATGTAGGTGTTTGTCTCTGTCTGTGGGATTGGAGCAAATCCAGTTGTATCTTATGGTTTGGCTATAAACAATAGATTGAGAAATGTATCTTGGATGGAAGCTAAAGGCATGAAGGTAAGTGTAGCAGTCAGTAGGCTTCAGGTATAAGGTGGTGGAAATGTGTCTGTCATGTAATTGTACTGTAGTGTCAAGGATATGGATCTTTCATGTGGACTGATCCAGGCTGAGGTTGATGGTGGGGTAGAAGTTGTTGAAATCCCTGTGAAATTCTTCAAGGGTCTCTTTCTCATGTGTCCATATGATGAAGATGTCATCCATGTAGCATAAGTAAAGGTGCTAGAGGGGGAGAGCTGAGGAAACGTTGTTCAAGGTCAGCCATAAAGATATTGGCATATTGTGGGGCCATGCGATGCCCAAGGCTGTGCCGCTGACTTGAAGATATAAATTGTCTATGAATCAGAAATAGTTGTGAGTGAGGACAAAGTCGCAGAGCTCTGTGACCAGGTCTGCAGTGGTGTCATTAGGGTTGGTGTTCCTGGTAGCTTGTAATCCAGTGGTCTCCAACCTTTTTAAGCACAAAATCACTTTTTGAATTTAACTCAGTCCAGGATCTACCTCAAACCCAAATACCTGGGCTCTGCCACTTCTCCGAGGCCCTGTCCCTGCCCCACTCCTTCGCCAAGGCCATGCCCTCCTCACTATATGAAGATGGGGTACAGGGGAGGAGGACAGAGTGATATCAGCACCCTCTTGCCACTATCTCCCCCACCCTGCACAAAAAGCAGGGCCAGCCCTTGATAGCCTCCCAGCCAAACTAGTCAGGATCATCTGTCAGAGGCTCCAAGATGTACCATATACTGGTTGGTGACCACTGCTTTAGGCAAAGCTGGCAAAAATAGGTTTCCAGATCTCCACAGAACTGAATCATATTTGTGGTGGTGGGAGAAGGAGAGTCCTTGAGACAGGACAGATTCCTCTGCCAGGCTAAGAGTGTGTTTGGAAGGGTTGATAATATTGCTAGATGAGTTGAAAGTACTGGGAATGAGAGATCTTGAGGTGTGTAGGAGTTTGCACAGTTATTTTTCCTTTTTCTTCTGAAGGGTGATGAAATAATCCTTGTAGGTGCCTTGCTGGGTTTTGATAAAGTCTGGCCAAGAGGAAGTGTGTGTGGAAGCTTGGTTTATTATGAGAGTTTCTAATGTTGAGAGCTCTTCCTTGATTTTCTTCGGTTTGTTGTATCGTATGCTGATTAGGTGGTTCTGAGTTTCTTTGAGAGAAGGTGGCATAATCTCTGGCTGTAGTCTGTGGGTAGGTAGATTGTTATTCACCCTCAGTCCATTACCTCTGGGCTGTGTCTACACTGGCCAGAATTTCCGGAAATGCTTAAAACAGAATAGTTTTCGTTATAAGTATTTCTGGAAAAAGAGCGTCTACATTGGCCTGTCTACACTGGCCCCTTGAATTTCCGGAAAAGCACTGACGATCTACTGTAAAATCATTAGTGCTTTTCTGGAAAAACTATGCTGCTCCCGTTCGGGCAAAAGTCCTTTTCCGGAAAACTGTTCCGGAAAAGGGCCAGTGTAGACAGCACAGATTTCTTTTCCGCAAAAAAGCCCCGATCGCAAAAATGACGATCAGGGCTTTTTTGCGGAAAAGCGCGTTTACATTGGCACAGACGCTTTTCCGGAAAAAGTGCTTTTCCGGAAAAGCATCATGCCAATGTAGACGCACTTTTTCCGGAAATACTTATAACGGAAAACTGTTCCGTTTGAAGCTTTTCCGGAAAATCATGCCACTGTAGACGTAGCCATGATGTCTGTCTGTTTGCACTTGAATAAGATGATGTTTTTTTGGATCTTTGCAAGTTTCTTTGTGTAGCTGATGTATTTCCACTCCACATGCTGAATGCAGAGCCTTGCATGTTCAAAAGGGGACTGAAGTGAGGCAGGGGCTGGCTGAGTGGATGGGAGTGAGGCTGGGGGCGGGGCTGGAGATGAGGGATTCGGGGTGCAGGAGGGAGCTCGGGGTTGGGGCAGGAGTGCAAGATGCACGGGTTTGGGGGTTCAGGAGGCAGATAAGGGCTGGGGCAAAGAGGGTGGGGTTTGGAGGGGTGCAGGATGCCACCTCTGGAAGAGAGTTTGGGTATGGGCTGGGGCTCAGGACTGGGGCAGAGGTTTGGGGCACAGAAGGAAGTTCAGTGTGTGGGCTCCCTGCTTGGCTCCCTGTGGCCCCTGGGAAGTGGCTGGCATGTTCCTCCAGCTC